TTGTAACTTATTGTTTATAGTGTACTTGCACACGCTGATTTCGAGAACCGAGTGAAGGTGATTTCGCTCCGTTCGGCGATTCAGAACAAGGCGAGCACACCGTTCGTCTGAGTGCACACGGTCGCACAATCGCAATCCACCCCTACCGCGTCGGTACACACATATATTGTCGCAGATTTTATTGTCGCACACGCATCACACGCCTCGCGAGTCGCGTACGTATATTTGTGCGTGTGTGACGGATCAATGGACGTCGGTGCGCAACGCACCCCGTGTCCGCTCCGACCCATTGTTTTCTCTCCCCGCGAAATATCGTACATTACAACGTATTGTTAGATGTACGCGAACGTGTATAATATTGTTACGACGATAACGGTACAACATATTACGATAGTACATCGCACGGCGCGGCAAACCTACCCCCCTCCTCCCCCCGGAGAAACGTATCATTCCGTTCAATTCACTCCCGCCGTCTTCGTCGACGTACGATCGTATCGATTATGCGATTATGCGCACCTCATGCGATACTATACGTGCAGTGCTCGAAGTGGGGGAGGATACGGAGTGATGGCATCCCTCTACTTTTTTGTAATTACAGTTTTCATCCCACTACTTGTTTTGTCTAGAATAACGCATTCCTCCTAAGACTTGTATTTTAAAATGATATACTTATCATTTTTATATTTATATACAAGACATTTTTTTTTCAGTGAAAATAATTGTTTTTAAAATAATATACTTAATGTGAACCATAAAAAAAAAAAATATAGGTACACAAGGTATGAAGAATGTTATGATGATATCAGGAAATCTGAATTATGAGGCATCCCTCCACTTATCTTGAGCCATTTTGACCACTGTATACGTGATCGTAAGTACAGGGAGTGGACGAAATAATTTCGACACCTAACGTACACGCAATTTATTTATTTATTGATTAGCCGTTTGCTTTTAAAACAGCTTCGATCCTTCGTGAAACACGTTCGTAGAGGACCTGAATGATTCCCAACGGAATTTCGTCCCATTCTTCTACCGAAATATCCGCCAATTGCTTCAGTGATGTTGAAGATACAGTATAAACAACATGCAATAATATGTAACTACTATATGGCGTTCATATTATTTTTGTCCACCCCTGTATATATTTATGGGAAATCGTTTACAGACCGTGTAGGTACACTTGCGACAGTAATATGTTATCTAGGCAGTAATGTTATTGCATTAATATATTTTTTGTAGTTTTTATAGTTTTAATTTCATATTCATTACGAAGTGAGCTTCAAATATCGAGACAAGATATTCGTAACAATTTTAATTTAATTCGCTTTTGTCGTAAACATTACAAAACATGTTTTAGTATTGAACGTAAAATTTTAAGAATAGTTTATTTTATTACTAATAATAATCAATATTTTATCCAATTCACATGTTTTCGTGGCAAATTTTCATAATCATATTGAGTGTAACAATTCAAATATTTTAACGCAAATATGACATTGATTCGATGAATTTTTCAGTGCAATAACTTTCGAGCCCTGATAATAAACAAAGTACGCATTGTACGACGAAAGTTTTAGGCCAAAAAAAAAAAAAAAAACAATTTAAACGGAAAACGTTTATACCGTATTTCTAGACCACCGAGATACATATACCGTATACAGATATCGTGCTGTCGTCTCTACTCGTATTTATATATACTTGTACGTGTGTACAAACGTCTCCCCGAGGCAATAAAATGGTGGTCGTTCATTGTTAATTTTCACTGAACCCCCCAGCATCGGCCGACCCCCACGGCTCGTTACCTCTCCTCTCACCCCTGGCCGCCACAGGAATATCGCGCAAGCGTACACATGCCCTGCACGTCGCTCGCACTGCCGCCGGATACGCGACCTCGTATATTACACTTGTTATTTAACTGCTGCTGCTGCTACGTATATACATTAACATCCCTGCAGGGTCCGTTGCGTTGTTTTTATCCCGTAGGATTTATGTCTCCGCTGTCACTGGCAATTCGCCCTACATACCGCATCGCACCCCGTCCTGCGCCTCGACACCCCCCGATGTACCGTGTACGCGCGCGCCCCGAGATGCTCACGCAGACTTACGCAACCGTTTACGTAACGCAATTACACTTAACGAGTACGACGCGTTTCACGGTCCAAAAGCCTTCAGTCTTCGGGCTGCCTTCCGTACGGTATCGCACACGCATACATATACATTTATATACTTCGCCTTCTCTCTCTCTCACTATCCCTTCCCCCTCCCATCGAACTTAACGTCCCTTACTGTCCGTCTCTCGTACACCTCCTCCCTGTCTGTACACGAATTCATCTCTTCGTCTTCGTGCATTTCCTCCTCATGCAGTACGAGTATAATATAATAATACGAGTAATTTCATTTTTCCCCTCCCCATACCCTTCGGCCGTGCACACTATTCCGTCCTCGTGTACCGAGCGCACGAGCTGCAGCTCTGAAAAACAAGTCTCTTCGACCGTCAAGTCGCACCGCAAACTCTTCCATTCCCCCATCCACTGAGTCTTCTCGCCCGTGTTCATCCGTAACCAATCAACCTCGAGCCGGAGGCCGTTTCGTAACCATGTTAGAGGACTTACGTCGCACCCGAACGTCAAGCGAGTGTTTCGTCGTATTAATTTGCAAATCTTGCGCAATCGACCCCACTGCGAAACGATATCGTACGAGAAACTGTTTACTACACACGTGACGGTGGAAAATTCGACGCGTTATTGCACACGCACGGGAGAATTGTGTCGCGTTTGACATTATCGAGTTTACACCTAATCGGTTCTGTATTCTGTATCTAATAACAATTGTTAGGTCTCAATAAACGTTTTCCACATTCGTTATGATGACGTGCGTCAAAATAAGAATTAACAATTATTTCCTTGCACCCGACTACCAATGCGGATATCTACCACCGTAACGACTCGATTTTCGTACACATACTCGTACTCGATTATCATCAAACGGAATTTGCTGCGTCCCAAAATACAAAAGGTTTGATTATTTTCTGCACACTTTTTATAGTGCGCAATAAAGATTTGGTAGGAGTAGCACTTGTCCAGGTATACAACGAATGGGTGTCGTCGTGTTTAGAATCATTAGAAGTCGATGGATTCAAGAAAAATCAATCCAAACGGACATCAGGGGCGTCCCGTAAATCTCCGAATGCTATCCCGAAAGGAAAGCCGACATAATGATGACATTTTCGCTGCGCTCCCGGGAGTCGATCGTACTCGTACACCGGGAAACTATGCGGAATTAACGGTCGAAATGAACCCGTTCTCGAAATGAAATAAATCATGTAAGAACCGCTACAAAAGTCACTCGACGTTGCGATAACTATTGGTTGGATTAAATAGAACTTACGCGGAAGGTGGAGCGGGCGCGCGTGATGCGGTACATGCATTATGATCTATGTGCACGCGCACGCAGATTCAATACGGACGGATGAAAACAACTCGGGTTATCAGTGGAGCTGAAAAACAAACAAATAATTTCCATCCCCTTTCCGTTCTTTCGTTCTTTTTTTAAAGACTCGCAATTACCGCACATAAAACAACTAAAAAATATACATCGCGCGGTACGCTCAACACCCCGTCGCGGCCAACGGTCGCCCCTGTTTTTTATTTTTTATCTAAACGCTCTCCTTAAAGCGCAAAATGTTTGTTATATTGTGTTTGCTCAATGACTTGGCCAGCCGATACTTCATTATACGGCAACGGCCGCCGCCGCCGCTGCAGTTGCCACCCTTCGGCCTGCCACCACCGTCGCCGCATTTGTCCAAATTAACACACCGATTTGCGCACGGACAATGCGCACGGACTGATTAAAACAAATTTTTCTACTGCACAGTGCACTTCCCCCTATCGTTCACCACGGCGCGTGCATTTTCTTCAACTCACCGCGTCCTTATTCCCTTCACCGCCCATATTACACAATAAGTATATATAAAAATACGCGTGTTTACACGCGATAATCAAAACGTACGCGGGTCGAATACGTAATAAACAATAACAACAATAATAATTGCACTCGATGGTAATAACAATAATAACTGCACTCGATGATAATAATCATAATAATAATAATAATAATAATCGAAAACGTTATACGGAGAGTTAAATTTAAAATTACATCTCCGTAGAACATAATTTATAACATACCCTTCTCTGCCTGACCCCCCCGATCAATGAGCGCATGCGCTTGTTTAGCGTTTATACGTTTAGGTATACTTAGGAGATGTTATACCGTGAACGTAAGCGGCGCACAATTGTATACGAGTCATTATCGAAGACACGTGTTGGAAAATGATTTTGGATTTGTACTTTTCAACACATACGGAAAACCAAACGGGCATTTTTTCCTCAAACGTGTTATTTTTTAAACCACTTTGTTTAATTGATAATCTTATGAAATATTAACCAAACAGTACTAAAATTAATAGTAGTTTATTTGTTCATTAATCACCGGCAACGGGTCACTGGAAGAAAATAATGTTTCATTTTGTAGTAAAACGACGACACACTAAACACAGTAAAGGGTTATTTATAATATCCTAACGAAAAAGGCTGTACACGGTAAAAGCCTTAGAACAGAAACAACTATGTGGGTCCGATGAATCTTATAAAAACTGATATGACATCTGTACACAGTAATGTGCATCAATCGCAACGGTACATAATCGCGAGTTTTTCGAATGACGGTTTCGTTCTAATAACTAATCACTTCGATCCGACGAAGCGGTGTTCAAGCATAAACGGCCCGTTTTGTAAATATTAACCAAACCGTTATCAAAAAAGGATAGTGTACATCGAACGAATTCGGTGAAACCTTTTTTTTTTCGAGCCCCTTTTAAATATTATTCTTTTCCGCTCCCGAAAGCGTTTTCACCCAAAATGATTAATTAAAATCGTTTCAAGGTTTGAGAACGCGTAATGTTTTTGCAACCGTAAACTTATCGTACGTTCGCGTCTTTTCAGGTGTCGTCCATCAACCGGGTGCTGAGAAACTTAGCCGCGCAAAAGGAACACCAGGCCTCGTCGGCCCATCAACCGGGCGGTGGAGGAGGTTTGGGCGGCGGCGGCGGCAGCGGCGGTGCTGCCGAGTCGGTGTACGACAAGCTTCGCATGTTCAACGGGCAAACGGGTTGGCCGTGGTACGCTGCACCGCCGCCGCCACCCCCGTCGTCAGCCGGAGGAGCGGCGGTGCACGGCGGTGCTCCGTCGCCGCACCACCCGGCACTGATCGGATCGGCTGGCCATCATCCCGGGAACCCGGCGGCCGCTTCGTTGGCCGCGGCCACCGCTGCATCACTCACCGCCGTGTCCAGGGACGAGATCCAAAGGAGAGGTGAGCATACAACCGTGTTTCCCTATCCCATTTTCGTCCTAGCCAGAGCCCTCGTATGAGATCCTCACAGGTTTCTTCAACCCCCCCCCCCCCGATACCAGTTGCACTTTCGGATATCGGAACCCCGATATTATACAGGGAAGGCCGACCACCGCGCGAACTGTTTAAGTTTTCTCGCGGTTAACGCACCTCGTGTTGGAGTCGATGTCGAACAACTTTTAATTCCACCCAATATGTACTGATGGAAATAATTTTATAAGCCAAGTACATTCAATCCCTTCTGATCATTTTTTTCTTTTAATACGCATCAACTTTTTTTCGTCATAGTTTTTTAATTTTTCACATTCGAAATCGAATAATAACACTTATGTAACTTTTCAAAACCTATTACATTCGATCGCGATTCGTTTGCAGCTGTGTAGCGTATTGTTTTGTACGGTTAAAACGATATTGCCGACTTGTGGAGATCAATAAATTTTATTTCAAACATTGCGAATGTACGAATGTTAAATATTTTTAAATTATTGCGTTTGTTATTCGACAGAAAATCGCGATACAGTCCAGATGTAATGTGACACTGTTTTCATAGAAGCTTTCTCATCATTTTCTTTGACTATTTTTCCAATTGTTTTCATCATTACCACTACGACTGCTAATACCACGTTATTGCTATATTCAATCTACTATTTTTTTTTCCTCTAAATGAAATTCCGCCTGCAATTATACACGCTGCGTTAAACACGCTTTTTCTAACACATAAAAGGACATCCCACACAACCGTATTAACCTTTGAAACATATTACCGCGGCTTTCTTTAAATTGCACTGTTTTCTCCCCCACCGTGAAGTGATTTAGGAGTAAAAAATACTCAAACTAAATTTTCAAAAGTACTACCCTCGAGGAGGTATTATATTCGTACCATCGTTTCCCATGGCTTTTTAAAATATTAATTAAAAATATAACGCACACGATCTTTTTATACATACCGATAAGGTGTACCGTCGACTCGTAATTAAATACGATCTGAATGTAACAAAAAATATACAATGTATTATGTATGAAATGTATTTATTAACAATCTCGTAGACATACTAGATTTTATGAAATTACGATGTTTTGTTGTGTGTTGGCTATACAATTTATAATTCACTTGGTGTGTTTAGTTGCCTACATGCGAAAAACAATGACGTACTTAACTTCATACCAACTCGAGACGGTAAAATAAACATAACAATGAATACGCCTTCGTTACATCGAATTCATTAGCCTTTGATTATAAATATTAATTATAATCTATGTGATATATTACAATTGTTGCACGCGGAATAAAATTTACTGAACGTAGCATACTAATAAAATCACGTAATTCGGTCATGTGTAAATAAAATATCGGTCGTCCGCCAGAAAACGGTTTTAAACCCATCACTTTTATACGACGACTTTGGCCGATCAAAAGGAATTCGGGTTTTCAATAATTAGAGTGATTAGGTCCCATATTGTATCTGAACCATCTCGGCTTCAAAATAAAATATTCACAGTATCCTCATTTTCGGTCCCTATTCGAACGCGTTTCAATCACCGATCCCTCTTAGCTCGACGGCGCGTCGTGAGAACCGTAGCCTTTGCAATCAGGGTATTCATTTTTATCTTTAACCATTGTGCGCACGTCGAAAGTCGATTTCTGATCCACGCCTGTCTCGGGTCATCTTACCCAACGGGTTTTCGGGTTGTCCGACGTCCCTTGTTTATTCTTCGAATCAATACGTCCTGAACATCGTTTTACACGTCGAGGCGCTTCAAACACGTTCAAACTTAGCGGTAAACTTTTGATTTTTTCCGAAGAACAGAATATTTACGGTCTATTGTGTTCCTGTCCGTGTATATCGTGGTCCATGCATGTACGATGCGGAATCCGTAGACGGTCAGTGTTTCTCGTGTCTTACGTGACGTTGTAAGAAATCCGGTGGTCACAGACAAGCCTTTTGGTAGCGGTTCACGCACGAAACGTCATCTCCGGACGATTGTTCATATTTATTTATTTTTTTATTGCTTTTTTTTCCTCGCACCGACAATGTGGTGATATGTAAACCTTCAACCAGCCATCCGCGCAGTCGACCGATCGAAATCCGGTTACGTTGGCCCGTTAATTTCTCCGGAAAGGGGCGACATGCCCAAGTCTGCGCCAGCGGCCGGGCTGTCACGTCCCTACCACCACAACCGTCGCTACCGCTGCCGCCTGCGTGCAAACATCCCTTTAAAATGTGAACTGCACCGGTCGGTCGTCCTCGGTCGTCCATGGTCGCCTCGCCCCGTCACGGTGCCGACACCCCGATAACGTTTATATACACGTTGCACCCCCTCCCCCCCTCGTTAATGTACGCCACCGCTCAACACAATGACTGGGCAGGTCTTCCGGCCCGACGCACACCGCACCACAGATCCTCCCCGTCGTCCCTGCAAGAGTTCCGATAGGCCCGCGCCGGACCGCCCTACCACTACTCTTCGATCGCCGACGCAGCCGCGAGGGTTATTTCACGCAACTCGCACGCACGGACCCGCCAGCGGTTTTATACACACGTGTACCCTTCGTTCACCCACGTCCCATACCCACACAACGATTGATCGCGTCCCGCGCGCGCACGTGTGTACGCCGATGTACATTTATGTGTGTGTGAGTGTGTGTGTGTGTGTGTGTGTAAATCGTACTCAGACCTCCCTCGTGGAAGCCGATCAAAATCGAAAGTAGAACAAAACACTGTTAAAATGGATGCATAAAGGATGAGTTATTATTATCGGATAAAAGCACACGTATACGTATTACATTATATTATTATATTATATACACGCCAGCGCGCGTAGAACGAAAATAATAATACTAGTGGTTTGGTATATAGTTTTTGTACAGATTAATAATACGGATCGGCTGCGTACGCTACGTAATAAGATTGTAATCGATCTAAAATAACCACAATATAGTTTTTGAATGTCAATCGTAGCCGTTACGCGTTTTATCGTCACTAGAAATTACAACTACTGTACTCGTGGATATAATCGATACGGATAAGACATGAAACAAAAAAAAAAAAAAAACAAAAATAAATTAAAACTTATCAATGCGTATGTAGCAGACTAAAATATTTTCAGATGAAAAGTTTAGTTACTATACAATTATAAACGATTATTTATAGCAATTGTATGCCACGGTATAAATTCTACTCGCCAAACAGCGGTAGCTCGATTTCCTACTTGACCAGTTTTTGACGGACGGACAGACGACGTATGTTATTATTTAAATCTTGTGCGCCCAACGCCATAATTTCTGTGAATTTTCATTTTAAAACGCAAACGTTAAAGCCGATGGCAGCGGTCTTAGCTATATTTTAATATTATTATGTATCATCTACCCGACTGAGACGATACAGAGTTTCTAAGTTTCTATATAAAAAGATTAACAAATATAATCAAAAACGATCATGTGAAATTCATATCGAACCTACATGAAAATACGTTAAGATTAACTTACCGATCTGTGAACCGTTACGCGTGATAAGATGATTACATACTCGTCAAATTGATTGATCCACTGTGTACATAACGTATTCCTCGGTATTTTGTTTTCGATTTCACGCACTAAGCCGAACTCGAACTCGTGTTTCAGCTGCTGAATTGGCACCGGAGAGCACATCCGATGGCAACTCGGAGCACAATTCGTCGGCGGACGATGATTCGCAACTAAGACTTAGACTGAAAAGGAAACTGCAAAGAAACAGGACTAGTTTCACCAACGACCAAATAGACAGCTTAGAAAAAGGTTTGTTGCACATTTAACGTATCATCGAATTCGCGGCGCCCGTCACAGTAAAACGTTGTTTCGCGATGGTCATTTACACAATCGGACGACGGTACACGAGTTCATTTTCGCTAGTCGTCTGACCCGGTCGATTATTTTTTCTACGTTTATAATATTACATCGTTATCGTCTATATCTGTTGGGATAAATTGGTCTTACAATTTTTGTCCGTGTGCTGCTCAACACGCTGCAGTTCTAAACCATGTCGATCTACCGCGCCGCAACAAAACGCTAGGATTAGTACATGATCCAAATTGTATTATTTTCAGCTGTTTGATTGCCCGGCAGACATGTCCATTCCTTCCCATTCCCCGTTCTTCGCGTACGGTTTTCACGCTGTTCGTTTCGAGCTGAATCGATCGTTATGCGAGACGACATTGATCGAGTATAACCATCCATTTGTAATTCCGTATTGGCGTGTTTCTTCTACGTGCACATGCTTTCCAATTTTCGAATCGCTCGTACATTATGATCTGTATCTACTGTTACACGGAATACAGAATTTCGTTGCGGCTGTAACGGAACATTTGTTGCTTTACACGCTGTCTACTTGAATAATATAACGTGCTATTAAGACCGAAGAAACATGGAGCGCGTGAAAACACTGCTATGCTATATTACTGTAATCTCTACCATAAAAACATTAACCCGTTGGATTTTCATTGTCAGCAACATGAAACGATTACAATGATTACGTTTCGTCATAATATCAACAACAGTAATTATTATTATTTTTTTTTTAATGAAAATATTTTCTATTCGTACTATTCGCGTATGACTGGACGAGTAGTAATTCTGTTATTCCACTTCGATGGCCAAACCATTTCGAATCCATAGCAGTGACATTGAAAACGATATATGAATTTTCAAAAATCTCGTTAAATCGATGATCCGGTTAGATGTAAACATAATAATTTTAAATTAACGAACAAATTGATCAAAAGTATTTCGGTCCGAGATCACTGCGACCGTCTGTCGGTCGTCACCCGTCGTAGCAGTTGCGACTCGGGTGTTTTCGATAAGCCAATAAAACAACGTAAACGATTTTGATGAGATCGTTTTAGGTTCGCGTAACACAGAGTGTTGGTGAACGATTATGATAGCGCAACGTTTTATAAGGCGTGTATGTTAATCGTGTGAAAATTTATTGCTTTGCAGAGTTCGAGAGAACACATTATCCGGACGTGTTCGCCAGAGAGAGGTTGGCCGATAACATTTCCTTGCCGGAAGCCAGAATCCAGGTAAGAACGTCGTACCGAAACGGTACGTTTTTACTGGGATTAATCCTCGAGTAAAACACGCGTCCCGTCCAGCCGGAAAATCCTGTTCGCGTGCGGCTGAGAAACACGGACCGCGCCGCGGGAACGTTGCGAATAATGTTTGGACCGAGTTTCCGCGCGGGCGACAATGAAAACCGCGCGTGCGACGGGTATTGATTTTGAAAAGCGGGCAACCTCCCCGCGCCGGAAGACCATACGCACCGGCATTCCGGCGGCGGTGGCGGTGCGTGCGAAATATTTCCATCGTCCCTTTGCGACCGGGGAAAAAAACGTTTCTCCTCCCTCGTGCCCGAAAACCCACCCTTATACGAACGCACGCGCCGCATACCGTTACCGCATCGTCGTTGGTGTGCGTGCGTGTGGTTCTTTTTATTTACGAGACCGCGAGGAGACAGGATAAAAGAGTAATATTACGGTCGGCCGTGACGACCAGGGCTGGATCAAGGGGAGGGGGGGCTATATCCCCGGGCAACGAGTTTAAAGAGGCCACAATAAGCGACCAATTTTTTTTCATATAAAACGGTGTCGAATAAATATGTTAAAAAAAAAGAATATCATTTTCAACAATATATACAAATAAACTAAACTTATTTTAATTAATATTTATTAAAAATAACTAATTCTGAAAAAAAAAGGAATAGCTTTTTGTAAAAGGGCCTCGCTAAAAGTATAAGCTTATTTTCCCGGCCCTGGTGACGACGACGGTCGATTTCGCGATCACGATGATTTCAACGGTACCGTTGCGCTGGCAAACATTGCCGGACCGCAGCGAAGTGTCGTTACGCGTGGGGTGCGCGAACCGGCCGGTTTGATTTCGTTAGCGACAATGGACATATTGCGCGCACGGCAATAACAATCGGTTTGCGCCGAACGGTCGGAGACGGTTCAATTACCGAGACGTGCCCTCGCCCTCCGCCGCGGCCACCGGTTAGGAAATTGTCCTCTTCGCTGCCGGACATCGAGGGGACGAAAAACGCGGTGAAAACGAAAAAAAAAATAAATAGCCTGATTAATCGCGGACCGCCCGCGTAACGACAACGAAACCCCATACGCGGACGGGGGTGGACATAAATTTAACGAGCACAAAGGGACCGCCGCTGGTCTTCGGCTCCGGTCACCGTCGGCGATAAATCCAACAACCGTGAGCAAGCCCGACGACCCTGTTGAACGCATTCGACGAGCGCGCGTTCACCAGGTAAAAGAAGAGAATAATAACTAATTGGCCGAACGACGCGCGTATAATCGTAATCTAGACGGTCCGACGGTTTCGTTATTTACTCCCTCCTCTTCCGGTGAGGGTTCGACAGCCGTAGCGACCGATCGTGACGGATATACAGCGGCTTAATAAACCGTCAACTAACAGTTATGGATCGGCCCATGTACCGAACAGCAGGGGGAGAAATATCTCACGAAGTCAGCGGCTATATGACATAAACGCCAAAAGTACAAAAATTACCTATCATTTTCACCAAAATGTGTAGTACATAAGCGCCAATCTATTGTATTATATATCTGTTATACCTCACATGTGACATAAGCGCCAAAGGTCCAAAAACGACATATCATTTGCGACAAAATTAATAATTTATGTAGGTAGTTATTTAAAAATTGCAATTTTATAAAAAAAATATCAATAATAAATTATACATGCAAATAAATATGAATGTAATAAATCGGTTGCCAATTTATACCAAAATATCAATAATAAATTATAAATGTAAATATGATAAATTGGTTGATTTTTTAATCCCACTTTTTTCACATATTCTATACATAAACACATACAACACCTTTATTCGTAACACTTTTTGTAAAATCCATTTTAATGAATGACGATTACACAAATGCTTACGAAGTAGGTACTAACAGTATAACATAAAACTGCTCAGTGCTCACACACTATCTGTGACAATCTATCGTAATCACTGATTACTAATCAGCGAATATATTTGTCGAATAAGATTAAACGTTTAGAGTTTTTGAACGAAATAGTTCTGAATTTAATATCTATTAACCGTGGCACGCATTTTGCGTACCTAGGATTTTGGCGCTTTTGTAGGATAAGATTTTTTTTTCTTATCTCATTTCGGCGCTTATGCCTTACACTTAAGTCAGCGGTATGTCGTTACTTTAACTTACTAACTAACTAACCTGCACTTTCTGATCATAACTCTGTCGAGCACGGAGTCGTTCGCACTACCGTTTTGGCCAGAGCTACCATCCAAATACGATAAAGTAACAAACACCGTTGTGTGTTGCCTATTTGATAACCACGTATCATTACACTAATACTACGTATCTGCCAATTTTGTTGATGAAAATATGTGCGGTAAGATGTATTTTAAAATGTAATTTATTCACTGGATAATATCTGAAATCATTCCGTTGTAAATTTATTATATTCTATTGGAAGCCGTAATGTACTAAATGCGTGTGAACAGTTCGCGAAATGTTAGTATGTTTAAATTGTTTTTTATGTTCCTGAAAACTTGTAAAAACTAGATACGTGGTATCGTTGTTAGTGCAGTAATTTATATGTAAATATTACCGCATTGACAAGCCCTTGTAGTCCCGTATCGAGGTCATAAATATCGATCACAGGAACTCAAGAGTGTCTGACGATCTATTTCCTAGGTATTCCGCTGGACAACTGTAACGAACCGTACCGTTACTGTACACTACGATATTGTGTAACGCGGCGCCACTATTATGCGTATAATATCGCATTTCCCGGGGGTGGCGGGTGCGCCTCTGTTCGCATTTCGCGCGCCCACGCACGAGGGTAGTTCGGCCGGCCACGCGCGACATTAGCGGAATTGAATATATGTAGGACAACCGGTCATTAGCTAAATTAGAAACATACGCGCCCGAATCCACTGCACCGAACGGCGTGGTTTCGGTACTGCGAGCAATGCTGGTCGCATATGGTTTTTTCACGGACCGGTGCGTTCGGTGAATGGTCGTTTACAGTCGAAATGGAATCCATCAATAGAACGACCGGCAGCAGCGTACGCGTGCATGATAAATCCTGACGGAAACATAAACGATGATGCGACGATCCTTTCCCCCCGTGCAAAAATAACAGATAGAAAAACACAAATGAACACAAGGACCCCGGAGTAAAAAAGAAAGAGAAAGATAAAATAGATTGGAAAAAAAAAATAAAAATAAAAAAATTGAAAGCTATACGAAATGAACACGCGTTGCTCCGGCGCGTACGTGTACTCGGTCCGTCTATTATCCAGATTAAAGTTATTCACGAATAAAGCGTACGCATACGCAATCTAATGCTGTTCGACGTATAATATACGACAGGGATTACAACCTCCCTTTTGAGCGATTTTTCGGTATGCAGTAAAAGTGCACCGAAATAAGTTTCCCGCGCTGCCAACTTTTTGCGAATTCTACACCCACAGGATACCTCCTTACTAATTGCTAACAAACCGTTTCCCGGTACATATCGCACGCACGTACATAGTTTTGACGAGCGCTGAGGTAAACTTTTCACCAGTACAAAACACAATTCGCTCCGGTCTAATTTTTGGACGCAACATGCTCATCGCGTACGTGTCGGATTTTAGTTCAGGACAATCGTTGGCCCGAGAACTAGACTCGAACAATTATCGTTCGACGAGACCTTACGCGTAAACGTATTAATGCGGTTTTTTTTCTTGTTTTCTTCTCGACGCAGGTGTGGTTCAGTAACCGACGGGCGAAATGGCGGCGCGAGGAGAAATTGAGAAACCAGCGCAGAGGCGGCGGCGGAGGAGGCGGAGGACACGACCAGCAAAACGGCACGCCAGCCGCGTTGTCTTCTTCGTCCGCGTCCGTCAGCCCGCCGGCCGGTGCCACGTCGAACGCGACCGGTGGTGGAGTTCCCGGCGGAGGCGGCGGCGGTGGCGGCGGCGGTCACAACAACCGACTGTCGTCCATCCAAGCGGCCGGATTCAATCACATGTACCAGTCCATCTCGCAACCGATCGCCACCATGCCGACCGACAACTACGGGTAAGTCGTGGGCGAATTCTCAAAAGGAAGAGAGAGAGCGAATGACAACGTTAAGGAACAGGTTGACTTCTTCGCCCCACTTTTCCGGTCTTTATCGGACGTGTTTTCCTCACGGTTGTGTGCACCGATCACTTACTTATTTTGAGTTTTCGTAAACTTCGAATTAGTTTGAGGATGTGGGCGGAGGTACGGCAATCTCGGATGCACCCGTTTCACGTCGCCTCTTAGCACGGGGTTGAAACGGATTTCCGGAGAACTGTCGGTTCGAACGTCGAAAACAGTGTAGAGTGGGCGGGTTAGGAACGCAGAGTTCCTTACCGAGTGCTGGAGTTCGTAGCCGACCGGTCGAGACGCGTACGGTCGGCGCTGGTACGGGTTTCTCGTCGGTGTGCGCCGGAGACCGCGACGCTCTCCAGGGACGATTTGTTGATTGAACTTGTTTGCCGTTCGGTTCCAGGTCCATGTCCAGCATGGTGTCCAGCGGCCATCACCACCACCATCACCATCACCCGGCCAGCTCGTACCCGTACATGTTCCATCACCCGCCGCCGGACTCGCTGTACAACCATCCGGTGTCCTCGTCGCCGCGCGTCCCGTGCCAGCCGGCGCCCGCGCACTCGGTCAACGCCAACACGCACCCGGCCGCCTATCCCACGTCCACGCACCACGCGTCCAACACGTCACCCGGCGCCACGGGCACAGGTAAATAACATTCGGCTCGGCTAGGGACGAGACGCGGCGGTAAGCCCGAGGCGAACGCGACCCTCCGGGACGTCGCGCGGTCTCGGAACCGCTTGCGGTCGGGTTTCTTCTTTTCCGATGGCAGCTCCGCGATCCGGTCCGTCCGGTGGTCGCGAACCCCCATCGCCGACATCGCTCGGGTGCACTTTTACCGGCGGAACGATCGGATCAATAAACCGTCGTTTCGCGTTCGAGGTGCGAAAACGTGGTAACGCACGTTTGGAGGGGGCCGATGTTTGCGCCGCCCGTACAACATGAAATGTTGATTCTACGACGGCGCGCGCGGACGCCTATATACGTTTAATCGTTCGCGTTCGACTCGGCAAAATTATGATCGAAATCATTCGGATCACGTCGAAACCGATCTATTCGTCGTCTCCGATCGTTATCCGCGATTTCCGCTTTGAGATTGTCCGACCTTAACGTCGACGCACGGGATTCGAAACGTTATCTTTCCCTCTGTTGCCCGTATTGTTTTTGTATTGTATCGTTATTGTATTGTATTGTATTGTTATTCGTTCTCTCATCGGCAACGCAATCGTGTGTGTTTTTCAGGCGTAATATCTGCCGGAGTTTCGGTGCCGGTGCAAATACCGTTGAGCCAAGCCCCCGAACACACGTACTGGTCGAGGCTGCAGTGAACGCTTGGCCGCCGACGGAACATCGTGTGCATCGTATTACGGACCGGCATTTCGTTTATTCAACAAACGCCGGAGAACTTCAATTATTCGTGTACCGTAATAATAATAAAACGTATTTTGCGCAATACATATATATATATATATATATATATATTGGTACTCGCTATAAATCGTATATTAACTTGTAAGATATTATTGTCGAATGTAATCGATATTGTACATAAATATATATATTGTTCATAATACTTATTAAACCATAAGCAGAGCAGAAAAAATACGAATCAATAAAATGTACACAATTATTATGTATGAAAAAAAAAATTATTATTTATGTACACACCGATTTATATATTATATCATTACGTCGAACGGTAGTCGTTGGTTAGTCGTCATGTTTTAATTTTCATCCGCGTACCGGTTTCTTTTATATTTTGGTTTTTTCTCGTAGTAAGACTGTGCAACTGTGTGTAACGTCCGTCACGATAAAAGTCTCGCGCGTATCTTATAGTTATATGATATATGTTATTTTTACGATAAATGTAGATTTTCTAGTAGCTAACGTGATTCGATTTTTTTTCTTTTTTTCTAATTTGTACACTACAATAAAATATATTAAGATTTATATATATATATATATTATGAACATAATGAATCGTGACATAGTCTCATGACTGTTTAAAAACAATGTAAAAACAATTTCATCCAATAAATGAGAATCATAAATTATATGTGAAAAAAAAGTTATTTTTTCTTTTAATTTTCCAATATTTCAACTGCTCGCCGCAGTTGCCAGGAAGACTGGAAGCTGTGTACATGGTAAGTACAACGGAAGCAGCAGGATAATTGTTTACGCGTGGTACCGCTGTCGGAGGATACTTTTGCGTGGTTCAATCGACGAAGCGGTTTAAGGCCGCGATGTTGTGATGTTTCACTCGTAGACCTATTCGATTATATTTTCAATATAATCTGTGCTTAGTGACCGTGTTAATATAAAACATATTGGGTGAACTGACAAGTCATTGAACAGTTCAGGATTTGTCTGTAGTTAAAACAAATTCATAAATTGGTTTTCGGTATTAGATTTTTTTTATAGCACAGACTAGAACGATGGTACGTTTGTTTTATTTTAAAATAAACACCGAGAAAACTATGTGAAACCAAATCACTTTTAAACATAGTAGTTTAAAACAATTAGTGAAATAAGCAATATATTTGAAGCGTTTCAAATTAAAAAAAAAAAAAAAACAATTAGTGAGTGATTTGACACAACGTGCGATCACACGATAGCCTTATCGAAATGCGGTACGACCATTGCATTTAATATCGAAAACAAAAAATATTTAACAAGTCAGATATCTAATTTTTTTAAGTTCAAAACATTGTTTGACATTGTTCGATCACTGAATGGTGTTTAATAACTGAACAGTTAACCCTTTACTGTAGCGCGCGTGTACCCCCGAAGTCGTGATAAATGTGCATCGAATTCGCGGAAATCCTTTGATGTGTTCTTCTGTGTTTGTCCTCTTTGCAATGGCACTGAACCCTATGCTTAGGCCTGACCACGTTTTTGAAATGAGACCGGGGCTCAAAGGGGCCGATCTATGGTTTGCACTTTGCAATATTCTGACCTCGCAATTATTCTCGTGAGAAACGCCGGACGGACTCTGTCAGATCGGTACGTGTATGAACGGAACAGAAACGTTCAAATTTGAATTACCTAAATTAAAACACATAATAAAATATTTAGCGGAACGGTACGGTACGGTGTCCGTCGGTACGCGTCTGACTAGTGTGAATCATGCTTGATACATGTAATTTGAGAGCACAAATTATTTTTCTATGCAAAGTAAAAATGTAGGCTTGTGGCCACTGGGGTGCTAGAGGCCGTTGTATTTTTATTTGGCCTGAGTAGTTTGGCACCACTTCCTTTTCGGAACCGGCACGACCACCAAGATAGACATGACTATTATCGTTAACACTGATTTAAACTTCGAAGGCGTTGGTTCGGTTACGCTGCGCTGTGCTGGAAAACCCCGAAACTCGGGAACTTATAAAGTAATATTTGTTATTACTGGATGCAAGTCATCGCGTCACGTTCGCTAAAATAATGGAAAAAATCATGCGATTTCGAGTTCCCGCGTTGGCACAAATAATGTACCCAAAAACGTGTTTGAATCCATAGACTGTCATCTCCTTCCGCGATTTCAATATCGATTACACCACTGAATGTGTCTTTAATTTTCCTCTGGTGGTGCGGTATTTATTTCTTTGGGCAGTGCAAAAAGTTACGGAATGCGATGTGACAGCGATTTCGTGTAATGTTTAAGTATCCGCGAATTGTCATGTTACCCCCCACCGTTTATAAACATATGTATATATAGGTATTGATTGCTGAAGCCCCCCGCATTCGATCCCCTCTCTACCGGCTAATATACATTTTTTCCTGTTCGCGTCGTTGTTCAACAGATTTTCATCGTCGTCGCGTAACAATAAAGGAATAACGCAGGGGCGATGAACTGGACTATAAATGTATACTTTGTCACAAAAGAACACAATACGTTCGTATAATATGATATTTTTAAGTTTATTCGTTATTGTCATTGAAAGCAAGTTGTGGAGGATTCCATCTTACACGGGGTTACACAGAGATTTTTATTGTTACTATGCAATTAAACCAGTAGCGTCATTTGGACAGTGATGTAGTGTTTGCCCCAGTCTAGTATCAACTTCAATCTCTACACCTAAAAAGAGATTCAAGAGACCAATTCTATCAACAAACATTGACTATGAGTCACTCCCCGCCTGAACCTCCCCCTTAAGATTCGCTTTTGGACTAACGTTAGAAACGTGGTCGAAACATCGCCAACGCAACGATACGGAAGAACACGATAAAACGAAAAACTAATTCTTAGAAATATGTTACTAGGGTATATTCGTCCGTCGTTTCGCATATTATACTTTTTATGCATGGTGTGCGGCATGCGAATACATTTCGGTTTCGAGGAATCTCAATGCTAAGGAAAGGTTTTTATTTGATTGGAAAATCATAATAATAATAATAATAGTAAAAGGAGAGAGGAAAAAAACTAGAAAACAAAATGAAAATAACGGAATGCGTTAAAAGATATATGTATATACTCATGTATTTATACACGTATATATGAAGTGACGAACAAATGAAAAATGTGAATAAATTCGAAAGGGAGAAGGAGCAAAAGGGAGAAAATGGAAAGAGGTAATAGCAAATGGTACGATGGGGTGTAGGAATACGGAAAAGAGACTGCGGCGGGGGATTGCTGCTGTAAAGAGGGCTAGTAAAGAAATAAAAGGCGACATTATGTGTACGATGTATCCGAGCGACGGATAAATACGAGGAAAACGTTTAAATATTTTCCTTTTTACGCCCTGTATACATACGTAGATACCGAGAAGAGAAACTTTACACCGTATACATTATTTTATTATTGTGTTCGAAAATACCAGAACAATACGAATATAATAAATTTGTTTGAAAATAATAACAACGCATAACTTTGTATTACTTACCAGTACGATATTATAATACGTACATGTTATGCGCGTTGAGCAACGTTTTTTTTCTCTCTTTTTTTTAATGAACTGCGATTTCAGCTTATAATGGCATAATTATTATTGGAGCGAGCGGCTCGTCTCGTTTGTGTTTTCATTGCAACGCGTTAATTATTATGTTGAGTAACATAGTTACCATGGGCTGGCAGCTAATATTTGATGCACTATGTGCGTACAAATGCCTGACGTTGGACAACCGTCAAGTCACAGTTACACAGAACGCAACGTAATACAACTGATTCCTAAAAGCTTATAATAATATTGTACTTGTACGATTTCGGCATTTTCAAAGTAATTTTTTCTCAGGCGACTGTAATGAGACAAATACATTCACTGAAATCGAATAATAAGTGCAATTTATACAATTTTAATGTTTTTATTTCAATAATTAACGGAACTCTGCAAATGTACAATACTTAAATCATATTAAAATTTATTTAGTTTTTCGAAGAGCATAGTACCTAAGCATAAAACGACACTAAATCAAATATAAAATAATACGAATAATATCTTGAATAATTTAATTTTAAATTGGTTAAAACAAATTATATTTCCAAAAATATATTTAGGTCAATACATTTCGATTATTTTTACTATTTAGAGATGGATTAAATTTTTATTTTTTCAACGCCATAAGATTCAGTTTTTAAAAGCGATCCGATTCGATCCCAACTTAAATAACGATTATGCAACAATCAATATTATGATACATGACTAATATATAGTAGTTACTATTGTATTAGTCATTGTTAATTTAAATGAATACGATTTTTTTTACACCAAAATAACAAAGTTATGATTTATTAATTTTTATTGACAGTGTTATTGTGTAACTAATATTATGGCGAAATAGACGTTGTACCAATTCAGTTTGTTTACGAATCGTAAATGTCCGATCCGTCAATATAACCCCATGTACTTATTATAGAATAAATTCTTCAAATAGTGTAAAATCCTAAGTAAATTTTTATTCGTTTAGTTAATCATTTTCAATTTTATTGTAACAATCAAGAAATTTAATGATTTCAAAACAAATGATGGTGTTATAAAATCATATTTTACGTAACATAATTAAAAATTGATTGGCGATACCAAAAATACTAGTATACATTATAATATTATGCTGAGATATTAACCCACAACCGACAGGCTTCGTTCCTCATTGCCTTACACTATCCAATATACATACACTTTTACGTAATATAATATTGATTTGTATGTATATTTACATGCACGGTAATATTATAAAGTTGAAAAAAACAACTAATGAATAATTAAAACCGAAAACATGTATGAAAATATTACTACAATTTAAACAAAATTCGAACTAACATATTAAACTGCAGGTACTGCAAGAAAAAAAGATATTTTTACTTAGAAAAACATTAGAAACATCTTAGTTTTAAGTAGTTATTTAACTATTTATTTCCTACTCTATGGGTTGGTACATGACACAGTCGGGGGAAATGTACGCGATTCTGAAAAACTTCTTAAATATAAATAACATGAACACTAATATTTTATTCCTAGTTTTACTATTGGAATAAATCGGAGGATAATGATTTCAATAGGTTGTGGGAACTCGTCGAGACCGCGGGAACCAGAACCCGTTATACTTCCTGGGATTTGTGCCAATGAATAGTTGAATAATTAAAATATAAATAAATATGAACGTAGTACATTCAAAATAATAGGTATCGTAATGGATAATTTATTACTAAATATTATTGTAATTAATAATTCATAAACATCGAGATACAGTAATAATTAAACATTCTTCGTGTGCCGCCGGGAAAGACCATTGTCAGGGCAAACGTGTTTATTATATTAAACTCGAAAATGGCTATTGTTTAATTTATTCCGCATGGTTTTGAGAACGCTACAAAGACACGTTTTAGCGATATTTTTCTAACTTACGAAATATTTTCCAATATTTATATTTTTTAGAACCTGGTACATAAATAGGTTGAAAGTGGAAGCATAAATATTTCCCTAGAATTACAAAAATGTATTCTATTATTAAAAATTTGTTTCAGGAGAGTGGGGTACATAATATAGAACTCATTACATTCTGAAAAACATTATACATTCTTGTCCAATCTCAGTCGCAGGCAAAAGAGTTGCGTGCACCTTTTGGAGCGCTTTGTGTCTTTGACATAAAAATATAACATAATATCGTAAAATCAAACGTCACAATTTTTTTCTTATATCATGTAAAAAAAGTTATTCCCCTAGACTTATTAACATGAAAATCATCATAAAATATAATTTCGATTTTTTTAAATACACACAAAAGTCTCATCAAATTGAACAAATGCAATTAGATGTATTAATTTTTATTATTTAGTTCATGTTTATATACTTTAAATCGCTATTAAATTTTTGCACAAGAATTTATTTAGTTTTCGGAAAAAAACAGTGGCAATAGCTATTAGTTGGTCAATATTCTAATGATGATGAATAGGGCCCGGATTTTTATGCAATAAAAATCTATAAAATGTGCAGATTCATGTCATAAATATGCAAAAAATATGCAAAATGATTTTTTTTTACAAACTAACAATATGTTATGTATAAAAATTGTTTATTAAAAAGAAAAATGCATAATAACATTTTTAATGACATTGTGTAAGTATAAAAGTATTATAAATTAATTAAAGTATTACTAAATTATTATTATTGAATGAGTGCCTGTACGAAGTAATAAATATGGATTTCAAGTTTTCGAATTGAAAACTCCTACGATTATCTTGAAGTATACTTTTGTATTTGGAACAACTTCTTTTTAGAAAATTTCAAAGGTGCAATTAGTGCATATTTAAAACTCGATAAATCTTCAACTGACAGTTCCTCGTCTTCATCACATTCGGTTACCTTACCGTGAATTATACCATTGATTTTTTTCAATGTAGAATATCCATGATTTTTGACAACATATTTGTAAGTTTAGATCTAGCGAAATCTATCCCTGGTCCTTCTTCTTCGAATTTAATTTTAATATTTTCTATGAGCAATAATCTATCTTTTAAAGTAACATTCGATTTTTCTAGTTCTTTTATTGTATCTATTAAACAAAGAAAGGTTGTTGTAATGACGGCGAGCTCATTTTTAACTCTTAATTATAAAATATTCAATATTTGTCGTCATTCGTCGGCCATCGATAACGATGATGTCAATTGACAATCGCTTATCGATGGGTTATTTAAAATCGACAGTAGGTATCTTCACAGACGTAAATTCTACGAATTATAGAATATGCAAAATGTATGCAACTATCAAGAAATATGAAATAAATATACATTTTCATTCAAATATGCAAAAAAAATGCAAAAAAAAAATTAGCCCTAGACTCTACACATTACGAAACGTCGACATTTATAATCAAAATTACTTTAGGTGAATTGTAGAAGAATATGCATTTGCATAAAAATCCTGACCCTAATGATGAATTATACTTTTAATTTTTACGATTCAACAGAGAAAAACTCAAACAGAATGTATTATGAACACTAGTTATTCGTTTTCTGATATGTTCTTAATTTTGTTAATTATTTAAACCCGTTTTAGCAGAATAAAGCGTTAAGGTAATAATTAATGAAGAATAAAATTCTCACGGAACCTAAGAGAAATCCGGTAATCGTTTGAAATTTAGCAAAACATTTAAAAATCAAACAAACAAACGTAACGGCGAATGGAACAAATGAAAATAATTGAAAACGTACTAGTTCAGAAGTTATCCAACGTTTAAAACTCGAGTTTTGACATTTTGTAAAAAAACGCTGCGTTTAATATTTATAAAAATTATTTTTGTGACCACAAATATTTCTCTAGTTCCCGAATCCGTAAGGACGGAATAATAGCGCGAAAAGATACATTTCAACGGTGCAAAACGTTTCGTTCAAAAAAAGTGTTATTCATTGTTCGACGAAAAAATGAACAATCGACGGTTCGTCTTCGTCGCGGACGCCGCGGTTGAAAACCAACAGACAGCTGCATAGGAAAACTAGCTATCGCCACTGGCAAACTTGGCAGAAAACGCCTTTTATCCAATCAAATACTTTGTAACCTTTAATTTTACTAATTTTTTTTTTTCATAATTCATATATGAATTCTCTAGTGCTATTTTCATAGTTTAATCGTTAAATGTACAATATTACAACATCTACTTGTTACACGAATTACGATGGAAAATGTTGAAACAATAATACGGATTTCGCGGCCGTTTACGATTTGCGTTCCTGGCGTGCAGGCGCAGTTCGCCGTGCCCTTGTTACGGCACTGCTAAGGGACAAAAAAAAAAATGAAAATGATAACAATCGGAGAAAACGACTGGCGGCAGTGCGCGCGACGCGTGTTGATCGGAACCGGAAAAGAAAAACGTTTTGCGCACCAGAAACGCGGCGGCGAACGCGCGAGTTCCTGCACCCGCGCAAAGTTTCCGAGATCGCGGATGCCGCCCGGAAAACGTCGCGCGCTCGACCGCCTACGGTTCGTGCACGGTCCGTTCGCGCGCGACGCGGCAACACTGACCGCGGCCGGTGCACGGTTATTACCGTGCGCGCGGCACGCACTGTGCGCGCGAACAGCGGTCCGCCGGCGAGAATTAATCGCGTTCCCACCGAGGAGGGCACCGTCATCGGTGACGACCAGCCCGTTATCAGTCGTCCTCCTTATCAGCGCGGTTTGTTTTTCTCTTTTTTTTCCCCTTCTCCTCGCCCCCGGCGTATCGATTCCCCGACAGCTGATCGCGCCCCCACCGCCGCCGCCGCCGCCGCCGACACGACAGCTCCGCGCGATCGATCGGTCGCGTTGTTGTCGTCCGCCGTACGTGTGCGTGTGTGTGCGTGGGTGCGCCCGCCAGTTTTCGTGTGATAATAATGACGCGCGATCGGTACGTCGTCGCGGCCACATCGGCGGTACGCGTGTGCGTGGTACGCGGTACGACCGGGTCGGCTAGTCGGCCGACAAACGCGACCGCGTGAACAACGATCGCGTGTGCGAACCGTCGGCGTAACGTGTCTCGATTTGCCGGGCGCCGGACGGCTGGTCGTCATGGGCAAGGACCACGACCTGGTGATTGCGGCCAAGACGGGCAATCTTAATGCCGTGGAGAAGATACTCGTGCAGAAGGCCAAGAGAACGGGTCCGCTGGCCAGGTGAGACGACGCGCCCTGTTCGTAATAATAATAACAAACACTTCCCCTCGACGTACCCTACAACCTTCCTACAACCCTACACCCGTGTCCACCACCGTCCTTTCCGCTTGAGCGCTCCCCCCCTCTCCCGAATGATCCGCAAAACGCGTACGATTCGGTCCGTTTTCAGTACTGTTACGGACTAATTACAATATGTTTACCGCCACCCTCATCCCCTCACGACTTGTGATAAGCTGATAAGGACCGCCGCTCGGCGCCTTCCCTACTGCTACTGCGCTCCGTTCGTTGCCCCGTTTCGGTTGTCCGCCCACGACGACGGTTTGCCCACGATTACTTTTACCGCGTTCTCAACAATAACATCAATGGTCTCTCGAAACATCCATTACACTGTTTACCGATGTCCGTCGCCCTTTCACGTTTCCCTCCCCTCCTTCTTCATCCGTTCGATATCCTTCCGGCCCGCGAGTAGTTCGTACACACCCCCCTATCGTATCGCTTTTCAAAACCCCCCGCCCCCACTGGTTCACCCGCCTGCTACTGCTGCACCAAATCGGAATATCGTCGATGATCGTTGACGAAATCGATTTCGTTTTCATCTGAACGCCAATTCATTAATATTATGGCTGTACTATGTTGCGTGTGCGACAAGTTTTAATGTTTACTACTCGTAGTAATAATTTATTAAATTAATTTTGTTGATATTTTTATAGTTTTCCGTTACGCAGTAAATAAAATTGACGTTTAAATGAATTACTAATCTTAATATTTGCTGTCGACTGGTTTTATCAACATTCAACAGTCATAATATACTACGACGTTCTATCGATTTATACTACTATGCCATTATACTGCACTCGCATTCACGTAATTCGTTGTACTCATACTTTGGGCAGCTGAATCATCAGATTGATTTGACCTCCATTTAAGAGTTTAGCATCTTCGACCGAACAATCAACTCCGAATGATTTATGATGATCGTATACCGTAGGACAAAGGTTCCCAACCAGGGTGCCGCGGCACCCTAAGGTACCGTGAACTTAAATTTTGGGTGCCCCAAAAATATTTGAAATATATATTTATTTTTAAACGTCTTCATGAAAAATATAGCACTGTGAATAATAAAACACACCATACTCTATGTCTATAGTATAAAAGCTATTGTGTATAATTAATTAGGTATATACAATATAATTTAATGTATTAATTATTTAACACATATAATTTTTACATAGTATTACTGAGATGTTCAATCTATTTTAATTTTCATACTGGTTCGATTGCTATCGATTTGATGTGAACTGTTTTAAAGTTATTTACGGTGAAATACTTGTGACTTTATCTTATCTTTATTGTTTATTAATGCCAAATAAAACCAAAGTTACTAAATATAAATTTAAATATACGATATATTACTATTGCGTATTCAGTATAAACTATAGAGTATAGAGCATAGGCTATAAGGTGCATCCACATTTTTAGAAAATAATAAAGGGTGCCGTGAGTCAAAAAAGATTGGGAACCTCTGCCGTAGGAGATAAATCGCCTTGGGGTTTGGATTTCTTTAACTGTAAAAGGTTAACACAAGGAAATCATAAGCTTCTTCGATATTTTTTAAACATTTCCGTTGTAGTTTATTCACATAATCACATCTGAATCCGTTAGCATTATCCGTGCAGCATTAATATTGACTTAAGAAACACGAAATCTTGGCACTCTATATTTTGGATGCATTTTATTATTAAATGTTATAATGGGATGATCTCGAGAAAAAACCAGGTCAAATTAATGGAGCGATTATTATTTTTATCATATTAAATTTTATCGTTTTCTTTTGTCGTCAAAAATTATCGTAAAAAATGTTTAAAAAAACAATATCATACTTCGATTAAGTGAAATGAAAATATCCATTTGTTTCGCCTTTCAATTAATTACAATACTCTTTTAATGAGGGGATCTTATGCGTTGTTTTCCGTTTTTCAAGTACCGGCGATCATTAATCTCCATTATCACCCTACGGCCAAAAAAGGTTCGGTTCTATATAGCGCACCCTTCAATGGCTTAGCAGTGTTGTAAGAAAAACATTAATTTGTAAAACTATACTTCATGGGGTCGACGATACGTTTTATACATTAAGGGGGCATCAATAACTTCCTACGGCTAACTTTTTTTTATTTATATAAAGCGCAATTTTATTTATTTCTAACAACGCACTTGTTGCTGAATCATAAGATTTTATTCGGAAGAAATTTAAAGCTATACCTACTACACGATGAAAACAATGTACATGATTATTATTGTTAAAAACTAATTTAAGAGCGAATTACACTGAACAGATTTATAAAAATACCTAGACCGTATGAAATAGGGTAAGTCGGAGTAAATTCTGAAACAATAAATGCTTTTGAAATTATATTAGACGTTTTCAGTTAAACGGTAGTGGATAACTCCTTATAGCGAAAAAGTATTTGGAGCAATAAAACTATAATTTTATAATACCTATGTTCACGTGATATTGTCTATGACAATAATCGCCTACCGGTAGTCCGTGGAACACTGGTGGTCTGCAGAAAAATTTAAACGTTACTTACAGAATCTTTTTGTCGTTATTTCCCAAAAAAATAAAACCCTAGACATGGTAATATGTGGATAATAGATCCATTTGCAGCAAACAATTAAAATAACAAGTTAAATATGTCCGAAAAAAAATACCTCATCGATTTATTTAACGATATTTATGTAAAAAGCTATTTTAAACTAAAAGTGGTCCGTAGAATTTAGAATAACTATGTATTTAATGGTTCGTGAGGTCCAAAAGGTTGGCCATCGCTGGTCTATGACATTACGTGTTGCCATAATGAAAAATGTGATTCAATTCGAAGATTGAAATAAATAATCTTTGATATTGGTCATATTATTTATTAATTATTTTTAATGCGTTCGTTCGCGAGGGACCTCTATAAAATATTTTGGTAACATTTCAGGTGACATGTTATTCGTTATTAATCATACCTGTATATGGACATCTGTGATTGAACAGGTTTAATCAATAAAAAAAATAAAACGCGACCAATCGAATTATATTTTCTTATTATACACATATATACGAGTATAAGTAATATTGTGAGCGTATCGTTTTCACAGTGGGTTTCGGTAGGTTAGGTTAGGTACAAAATTTGTAATATCCATTTAATGGAAGACATCTCGTGTTTATTATTGCAATTAATAAAAAAATCGTTATCAATTTTTCGTCAGTAACTAATGTAATTACAGCAGTACTGTAGTGTTAACATTGGCCCAGATCACTAAGTGAACAGCAGAGCCGAATTATGGTAATAATGAATAAGAAAGATTATTTTTGGTAGAGCTCATTCACCCAAAACAATTTAATTTTTTTATTCAAATTAAGTAATTTGTAATGAATATTAAAGCATAGTATATTTATATATTTTAGTATAGTCATAATTAATTAATAAAATGGGGTGCATTAAATTAGGTAGTAAGCAAACGATTTTAAAACACTTGTGACTCTTTTCAACTGGCGACCCTGAGCTTCCTCCCAGCACTCTTCTAGCCCCTTCTTAGATTCAGTGCAAGAGAACAGAATTAAGTTATTATAATAATAATAATAATACAATATTTAATACAAGCATCTCAAAATATGGCGAGGAAGAAATACCAAACGTCGTACGCGTTATAAAAAAACACAAATCAACTATGTATCATATGAATAAACAATGAGTAGCAACGTTAACAGCTAATATGACGTGTTCGTTATATCGCATACGACGATATACCATTAACGTGTCGTGCGCCAAGGGAAAGAAGTCAAGCGGTTCACAGCTGGTACCCACCGCAGTGTTTTCATTATTCGCAGCAGCTACGCGTGTAGGCATCGGTAGACGCCAAAAACAATTCTAAAATAACTCGGATGCAATTACTGATCAAACTTCGTGAACATCATTTTGCTTAATTAAATGCAAATAGAAATCTGCGTATTAAAGATTTTCGTTTTTATCTTAGTGTTCCCTAAATCATCATACAAAAATCTGAGTATGCATATGTTTTAGTTCGAAGAGACCCGAGTATTGCAATAGTCGAGTGGTTTCCAATAACGGTGTTCAAATAAAAATATCAAGCATAAAGCTTAACTTAGATGAGATTTTGAAGAAAACAGATAGAAATATCTTTCATACATTTCCAAAAGTAACTACTTTAAATCAGGTGTAGTTAAATTATTAATGGTTGTTATTATTACCTTTTTTTTTTTTTTTTTATAAAAAAAAAGATAATTTTAAAAGTTAAATTAAATAAATCTCATTATATTGTATTTTTTTAAAACACATGTATTTATATTAATACGAAAATGCGTGTAAAATCAAAAGAAGTAACAAAAAGACTTTTCTGTAAAAATATGATCAAAAAAATGAGTCCTTGGTCCAATTAAGTTGTAACTAAGGATTTGTGGCTTTATAATTATTGAAAATCACTGTTTTATACTCTCACTCCGAAGTCATTTGATACTGACTCTTACTCATTTTATTCAATATTTGTTTTGTGTAATAACTACGTGAAGTGTACACAATTCATTGTATTGTATTCAACGTTTATATAAAAAACATAAAATCTGTAAGCACTGTACATTTTACTTAATATGAACTTTCCTATCGTCATTGAATGTATTACAACGCTGTTTACAGCAGGAAACTTGTGATGAAACCAAAAACTGTTATGCATTTTATATATTTGCTAAACGATATTTAGCTACATTATACATTATAAACATTTACAAAAATACGCAAATAACATAACTACTAAACATAATACTACATCTCCTAAAACCGTTTTTTGCACTATTACATGTTACATATGTATTTTATTTGATTGGAAGAACGACCGACTTTTATTCAAGCCTTTTCAAAATTGATTAGATATCGTATTTCAGATTAAATGATTTAGAGGATTTACTTTTTAAAAGAATTTACTTATTTTTCAATTATCAAGCTCGGAGATCTAAAATTAAAGAATTATTAATTTTAACGATCATCATTGGAATTTTTCGATGACCTTTTAGAATATGTAAAACTTTCTGTACTGTTTATGATTACTGAATAAATCGATGATTTATAGAGATGACGCATTACATTTATATTTTGTTTGAGCAATAAATAAATAGTTTTGCACTATTTAATGTCAAGTAACAATTGTTTCTAATTAATTAAACGATTCAGTTTTAATTATTATAACTTATTTATTATTAATACTTATTATTTAATGAGCTGTAGATAAACTTTTATAAACTTTTATTTTTTATCAACAAATGATGGTTAAAATTGATATTTTAAAACGAGTTTCTCTAGAAAATTAGTTTAATGTAACACTTAATGAATTAAAGATGATTTTATTACAAAAACAAATTGTTATAGTCGTGATTACTGTAAACCAGTCATACCATATAATACACTATAATTATTATATTTTGTTGGTTTTTAGTTTGAGAAGAGGTGCTGGTGTAAATACTCAAGACCAAACTGGCTTTACTGCATTGCATCACGCTTCATTAAATGCATACAAGTAAGTGATTTGTATGATTATCTGAAAATCGTAAATAATGATTCGTTCACTGTTAGTGCACGCATTTATGCATTATCTACTGCAGCAGTTGGTAAACAAATAAAAATTAATAAAATCTTACAGTTCTTAAAATTAAATCAGGAATCAAACGAAAGAAATATAATAATATACCTCTGATTTTTAAATTTTTACCGCACGTGAATTTACACTTAAAAATGGTTTGTAAAAAGTTGTGTTCTATCGTTAGGGAAATCGTTCAACTTCTCCTATGCAACGAAGCGTCAACCAATGTAGTTGATCACAAAGGTGCTGCTCCACTACATTACGCGGCATGGAGGGGCAACGTAGAAATTGTTCGCTTGTTGCTTTGCCACGGGCCGTCAATACCTAATGTCAACCATATGGTAATTAAAAGAACAAGGCAATGAGGAAATACTTACGAGGGTAAAAATTATTTATTTTTTTTTATGTTATATTAGACAAAAAACCGAGAAACTCCATTGCACTGTGCTGCCGAACACGGTCATTCGGGTGCGGTCTCGCTTCTCCTAGAACATGGTGCTGATCCTACTATAAGAAACCACAAACACGAAACTCCTTTAGACTTATGCGCACAATACGGAAGGTACGAATATATCTCTACTATTGTCATGGTCATATCTATGAACTATTATTTTAATTGCCATACAATATATGGATAATGTTGTGTCATATTTTAGTATTTTAAATGTATATAATTTAATTATCGAATAGAGCTATTAATAAATTCTATTATATTTGATGCGATTTTTAATATTTCAACTGCTTATCATAATTTAATAATAATTGTAGAGTCCCACATACTCAAACACACTTATAATATTCAACTTGTATCGTTATAGTCAACACCTATTCACTTGCCATTATGGCATAATTACCTTTATTGAACCCATCGACTTTCTTCATTTAAATAACTAAAGATTATATTGTATACATATGTTCTATCCCTGCTCTATAAATATTTTAAATATAAAAGATTATCATTATATATTCGTATTTTAAAAATGTCGAGTCATGGTTTACAATAATTTAAATTCACTTGACGTTTAATTATTTTTAATGAAAGATTTAAAAAATTGTCTTTACTATACGCCTCATGTTATATTTTGAGACAGGCTCTTTTGATTTTAATATTTTAAATTTTTACTATTAATATTATGTATAATAATTAGACTGGAGACGGTGAAGTTGATTATTTCTGAACGACCTGAACTGATAAGATCGTACAATTCTCGTGCTGCAGGCGTAATGTTTGCTCATACTCCCTTACATTTAGCAAGCCGAAATGGCCACAAGTAATATTCCACTTTGATTATTTAATACTTAATGCATTATTAGAATAAACTTTCCCCGTTATAAAATGTATATTAATTTCCAATTAGGGCTGTAGTAGAGTTGTTACTGTCGGCTGGAATGGATGTTAATGTTCGTACCGGTAGCGGTACTGCTCTTCACGAAGCTGCTCAATGTGGCAAGACTGAAGTAGCTAGAACACTATTAGATCACGGTATTAACACTCACATAAGAGACATTTATAGACGTACAGTAGAAGATCTGTTAAAACAATTTCCACCTAAAGCTGGTCCTGCTGTAGAAATAACAGCTATGCTACAAAGTATGCGGATAACTGAATATTGGACCCTATATTCGGTGTATTTCAATTGTATTTTTACACAATATGTTTGTTCATTTTAAAGACCACCAATTTAATAATAACAATGAAAGTGATATGGAAACTGAAAGGAGAAGTGAAAACGGGGATTCTGTACCCGTACCTCCGCTGAGTAGTCCTTATGAACACATGTTGTCACCTAGTCCTTCTCCAACTCGCTGGGAGAAACACAAAAGCCGTCGCGTTTCGGAATCTTCAGCGTAAGTCTATTGATAACACAACATTTTAAATAGTCAGGTTTCTTAAATTGTTCCTCCCGCAGATTTTCCGATGGACATTACCATTCTAACCGTTGGTACAAAAATGAACCTACTCCGCTTTCCAGGTCCTTAATAGAATCCAGTTTTCTTTCCGGTCCTGAGTTGGACACTGTAAGTATAAGTTCGTCAACAACTTCTAGCGGTCATAGGCCTGTGTCTTCCTCTTTTTATTTACCAATGGCACCACTAAATCCGACTGCATCAAATATTTCCGTAAGTTATTGCACATTTCACCATAGTACTTGTGTGTTACCAGTTGTGAATATTTTTTTACAGCCTGTGGCATCTAAAAGACTGACACCTGCAGCCGATTCCCCTTCACGTGTGTCTGCTAACCATACTAGTGGACCTTATGAGTATTTGTACCTAGCTACTTCTGGCTCACCTTCGTCCGATCAAAATCGACGGGTAGAAGTATTACGCCGTGGAAAGTCGGCCGATCAATATATTGAAATGAAACTGAGACCCACGTCGGGCGAAGAACCCGTAGCGTTAACTTCAATCTACCAAAATGTTCCAATACGCACAACAAATCCTCGACGAAAACTTAAACGTCACGACAAAGATCCGGGTGCAATATTAGCTCGGGGTGATTTACAATTCAAACGTGTTGAGCTTGAACCTGCCACAACCAACCAAGTTATAGTTTCTGACCAAAATGGATTCATCACTACCACCATCTCGTCTTCCCGAGAAAGTTTACTTGATGGTGACGAAACACCTTCAGCAGATTGGCCCTTGAGTCCTACACATTATCATCAACCCCCTACTCCAGATCACCCACCACCATCACCATTTCAAGCTGAACGTAGCATTCATGCTAGAATACGACCACTTAGTCAAGTAAGATATATTGACAATTTATATAAATATAATCGAATTCATTGGTGAAATTATAATTGATCTTCAACTGGACCCTCCTTTTTAAGATTTACAGTAACCTAAAGAGAAAATCTAAAGATATGGAAACTGAAATTGAAGAAGATTTATTAGTTATAACTTGGGTGCCTGAGTCTCATGTATTATCAAATGATAAAAGTGTCTCAACGACTGAAGAAATTCCCGTAGAAGAATTTGTGGGGGATGCGACTTTTGCAGGTTGGTTAACAGAAACTTAACCATAACAATAATAATGTATTAAAATTATGTTATTTGTAATAGGCTTACTTAAAGGATCTATAAACAGTAATCGAGCAGAAAGGCCAAAAACCTTGCGTAAATTGCGTACAGTTTATGATCCTCCAATCACAACTCAATCTCCTGGCTCTGCAGAAGATCAGTCGAAAAGTTCTAATACAATGTTAAGTCCGTTTGATGAACAAGAGGAATGGGCAAAGATATCCGACTTGATCACCAATCTAGGAGGTGGAAATGCCAAAGAATCTATGTGTAATGAACTTGAGAAAGAATTTCAAGCAAGGCTAGGTACCTAATATTCCTTATAGTTTATAAGTCTTAAATTGATTAAAATATATACAACACGTGAAAAATTGTTTTAGGGTTAAGTAGGTCAGATAGTAAAGAAAATTCGCGAAAAAATGGCAGTGATGGTCATGATACAGTTCAATCGTGGTTATTTGGATTAGGTTTCCAAGAATTTGTTAGTTCATTTATTGAATTCGGCTATGATAATTTAGATTTTGTTGTAAGTATTCTAGTTAAATATTCTAATCTTTCATATGTGTTGAATCACAAATTTTTATTGAAAAAATTGTTTTCAATGTTTTCATGTTGTTAATTTTAGAATGGAGTACTTATAGAATCAGATTTAAAAGAAATGGGTATTGAAAACGAAAATGATCGAACAAAGATTTTAGAATCTAGTAATGATTTACCGTTCTTGGTGAAAGAGTTCTGGTCCAAACGTTACACCAAAGACGCGTCTAAAGCAAAAAGCAAATCTATTGCTGATCTAGATCAAGTTGATGATGAAGAAGATGCAAAACAGATGGAAGAATGGTTAAAAAGCATTGGTCTGTCTTGTTATATAGACACATTTCGTAAACATCTGTACACTGACCTTGAACGAATCGCGCGAATTTGGGAAGTGGAACTTACTGCAGTGTTAGAAATTACTAAGCCTGGCCATAGAAGAAGGATACTTTCATCCGTCGATAACAGTAAGTCTCAATTACTTCAAGCTGTTTCGGTTGGTGATGGTTTGAACGATATTGGCAACGATCTTAAAGAATTGGTAAGTGGTTTTAAATTTATCGCTTGAAAATGTAACTCGTGCTTGATTTTTTTTTTTTTTTTTTTTTTTTTTATGTAGCCTTTTTTGTTAAATAATATAAATCGATTTAAATATTTAAATAGATCGAATGTCATGGTACGTCCTGAATTCATTTTTCTGACGGTATATTACAGAAAAACAACATTCAAAGTCTCAAAGACAAAGTAAATTCCAAACACTCCGTTCACGTAGCTTCCGGGACCGCGACGCTCCGTCACAACCCAAAAAAGTCAAGACACGCTCCTCTTCCACCGCCGCTTCAAAATTCTTCCAACCGAAGTAACAGTGACCTCGTCATCAGAGGCCCATCGGAGTTACTGTTCGGCGTTCCCTCCACATTGATCACCCAATGGAGACATCAGCCGGCCGCATTGGTTGCCGGTAATATCAAGTACATTGCCTCAGTAAGTATAAAACAACGATTTTTACAACACACATGAAAACGATCTGAAGAAATGCATCAATTGTTATGGTCGATCTTCGTTCCAGTATTTGGGCTCCACCGAGGTAAAAGAGCCCCGGGGCACTGAGTCGACTAAGCAGTCCATTCAAAAACTCAAACTAGCCGTGGCCAGTGGCGCTCAACGGACGTTGCCTGAGGTGGCGCTCGTCATATCGTACCGGGGAGTAAGGTTCATGGACCCAGTTTCGGACAGTTTGGTATGCGAACACGAAATTCGCAACATAGACTGCGCGTGTCAGGACGCGGACGATCTGAACCATTTCGCGTACATCACGAAAGACCATCTCACCAGCTCGCACTACAGCCACGTGTTTAGCGTGTCTTCCATGGTAAGTATTCGATACCGTAACTGTAGATGAATTCTATTAAGCAACGTCGTACCCCTGAACCAGATTTAGTCGGATTCACACCACATTGTGCATCATTTAAAAAGTGTGATACCAATATGTACCATGTATGTGTTATTTAATAACTCCGAAATTCATTCAATCAATCAAAGGCAATTGCTTTTCACGACACGACGCAGTGTCGTATGAACCCGATTTCAGATGGCTGTATTCAAAACGCATGATTTTCGATTTAAAATCGGCGGTTTTGCTTTTCCAGCTTTCCAGGCCTTTAAAGAGCAAACCGCCACCAATCATTCTACGATATACCAACAAAAAATCTCGCGAAGAAAAATCGTATCAATTACCTTCCTTGAAAAATATAAAAATCGAGAATACAATACTTGTACTTATAATTTATGCCAAAACTAACGATTTACGCGCGCCCCAATGAAATATTCTGCTGACGTGCGTACAAATCAACAACGCGTGTGGTTTTTCGTTACAGGATCAAGCCACTGAAATAATACTTACGTTGGGTCAAGCGTTTGAGGTCGCCTACCAAATGGCTCTCAAAAGTCAGACGAGTGCGTGTAATCGAAACGGTAATAACGGTCATACGAGATCGCATTCGGCCACTAACCACGTGTTGCCGAATGTCGTCGCGGGCACTCGTGATGGACGGTCCGGTTCCCATCAACACGCTAGATCTCATTCCGTCAACGAGATTATAGTGAACGGTATTCTTCAAAAAGGCGAGTCGAACGAAAAATCTTAATATTTTCTGGTAAACACACCCTTATTTAGACATTTCAGCATATTATTGAGTGTAAACAGTTACCAAATATTTTCGTATTTTCCAATGCGTTCGTTTATATGAAATTAATTTAATATACATATAAATCGTACGATACGTACGTATACCAAAAACGAAGCAATTTTATCTTTCAAAATGCTCAATATTCATACAACATAAAATATGCTTGATATTATTACTCTTTTTATATATATATATATAAATATTATAAAACTCAATCTAGCAAACTTTTTTTTTTTTATTTAAGTATGTTTTAAACAATGCATTTTGTTGACTATAATATCAGATTTTATGATATTCATTCGTATCTCGTAGATATTTAGAAAATATTAGCCTAATTCGTCTTATTTATAATTCGCGTTTTATTAATAATCTTAACTTAAAGTTCACTAACTTATTATTAGATAGGTGCTAAGATCATAATGTTTTAAGCAGGCGTTCCTATTCGACTTAATGATGCAACCGCCATAAAAAAAAATCGAGGCCAAATTTGATTTTACACCCAATTTTTGTGATATTTTTAAAGCCTTTTTACATTAATATTATTTATTTTATTTTTTTATTTTATTTAATTTTTTTTTGTAAATACGACCAATGTTATCTCATTTTTTTTATTGTAATTTATTTTTAAGTGAGGATTCGAACACCAACTATCTTCCTTTACAAATTAGATTACCGTAATATAACATATCCTAATGTGTGAATACGCATCCAAATCTCTATATATCCGTCTTTTGGGCCACCACCACCACCATCTCTATTATAGCATTTGAGTTGTTGGACGTTGTTTGTTCGCTTTTTTAATGTATTTTATCGTAGACAAATATTTATTAGATGTATAACTTCTATTTACGATTAGCTGATTTTGGAATATGACACGTTAATATTATATTATTAATTATTATATGTACATGACCGTTGCTTATTTTTAACATGTATGTAAATCCATATGTCACTGAAATTAATTTTGTTAACCGGTTGTGAACATGTGTGCCATTCTACAATCATTGTTGTGAATTTTAACCCCCAAAGATTAAAAACCAAATATACTTACATGTTTTACGTTAAATCGTACGTTTTCTGTCCGATTTGCATCATCCTTGAATCATGTTACTCCTCTAATTTCGTTACTACATGTCGTTACATATGCCTTATCGATCGAATAAAAGCACATGTTTTATACGTGCGATCGATTATTTACAATATAATTGCTGTTGGCAAAAGTAAAATGCCGCGTGGTCTGTCAGTAATTACCGAACATTCAGTATAATCGGGACGTTACCAATAGCATAATGCTATCGACGTTCACGGTGATTCTATAGGTAAGTGATATAATTTATAATTTTATTTAAACAATTTCAACGAAATATATTGTGTTAAAATAATCGTCAAAACTATGGGAAATGATTTGGTAGGATTGAAAAGGGCTTAAAAAAACGTCGCGTTAACTATGTTTGAAATTATTTGTACACTTCAAAGTTTTCCGTTTTTGATTCATTTAATTAATTATTTAAGTTGGGTGATTCTGTTTCTAACTTCATGAACTCCGTTATTTTCAAATTAAATTTTTTTAAATATCTATATTCTAGGTAATAAAAAAAAAAAAAAATTATAACTATTTCGAATAATTTCCACACCCTCGTCGTTGTAATTATTTGTGTTTCAAAATTTTATAAAGTTTCGGTTATGATTCTGTGCTGCGAATAATAGCTGCTAAATATCAAAAAGATAGTTGATAAAATGAAAAAAAAAATATAATTTTCAGTTTCGACTTTTTTGTGATACGAGATGTATCCGAAGTATAATTCGCGTAGAATTTCTACCGTACTGCGAACGGGTAAGACGCCGCAGCGTAAATAAAGTTATGGATTTCAAATTTTTTTTTTTACCACCCCGAAAACGAATGCCGTATACGTACGAATAATCGCTGTAGAACCGATATAAATGTATTCAGTTCCGTAAACTGAGACCACTATAAAAAAAATAAGTATATATATTACACATGTAAGGAAAATTCATAATTTCCTCCGCGAAACGATCGTAAAAATCTCTTAATGGTTAACGAAGACGCTCACTATCCCCACGGTGACTGTATACGATGTATAATATTATTTCAGTTTGAGTGCGACGGGACGTTGAACGTCGAATTTATCGCAAAATAATAAAACCGATGTACACGAATAAAAATGATAATAATACATCGTCGGAGACGGAAGACCGGAAAACACCAAAAAGTGTAATTAAACACGAAAAGTACATGTACAAGATATTTCAGCAGCCATCGTCGTCTTCCTAAATACACGTACATATTATTCAAAATGGCGTAATTTTATGTTCAGTCGTCGAATAGCGTTCATGCAACGAATTTGCATTATTATTGCGGAAATGCCAAGAAAGCGGGAAAATGATAGAAGAAAAAAAAATTAACGAATATCTTTACGATTCCATCGTCTCGTGCGGTTTTTTATCGTCCATTTGCGTCGTCGTCGTCGTCGGCGGCGTTGTAAAACTTCCCCGGGACAGCAAACTGCCGTCATCGTTGTCGTCGCTGTCGCCATGAAAAACCGAAAAATTTGCATACCCAGGCACTTGTAGACGTTTATAAAACGAGTCGTTTCACCTCTCCTTCGTTTCCTACCCCCTGTAATGGCGCCCGTACTGATTTACCATTCTTGTCCACGCGTACATATTATTCAGGACTTGGATTTATACTCGAATTACAGCAGTGAAAAGTATTAAAATGTACATTATTTTATGACTTAAAATCATGTATAACAACAAGACAAATAATTTATTTAATTACTATTTAGGAATTAGTTCATTTATAAAAATGATATAAAATATTAAGATTTTTCTATTTCAGTCACATAAATGTTATCTACAATAATAGTAAAATTTAAACGACACTCATGGAAAACTAAAGTTTAGTTACTAAACAAATCATATTCAATGCATATTAACAAATATAAAAGTATAAATCAAAAAAAAAATGAATGTGCGCAAAAATATTAAATGTTAATTTTTAGTTTTAGGTTTTAGTTAGGTTTCACATCCATATTATAATTAAAAAAAATTGGCTGCATAATAATAATAAAAATAATAATAATAATTATATTAGTAAGATATCATCGTCCGCGGGAATAAATCTCCTATGTGGAAAATTACCAACTTGAGGTTTTGGTATCACTAAATTCAGAAAAAAATTATCTTTAATACGAATAAAATTCGTATGTGCTATCTTTCTTCCATGTTCAATTAAATATAAAGACGTTTTAAAAAAATTTAAAAATACCTCTTATGTGAATAAGAATATGATTGGCAATCACACTGGAGGTATTGTCGTTTGTGTTTAGATTAGTGCCGTGTGGGGGATAGATAGATAAATAACCATTTTGTCTCTACTGAAAAGTAGCGTTTTTTCGCATAGGAGATTTATTCCCGCGGACGATTATATTAATATTATTCAAAAGTATTTAGCAAATATTGTATAATCCATCCCCTGATAATAATTTGTACCACTGCGATGGATTTGCTCGTACACACCGACGTGTCTATTTGTGCCGCCGTCGCGCAAATAAATAACGATATGAACGGTTTCTTTTTCTCGTCTTCTTTATTGTTATTATTTTTGCTCGTATACGCGAAACGCGCACGGTCTTTTCATCGCGGAGACGCGGCCATTAGGGAAATGGAAAAAACAAAAAACACAAAAACGCGACGCATATTATAATGTATATAGCGGCGAATACATATATTTGTATATATATATATATATATATATATATATATATATATATACCTATTATTATTTTTTGATTAAAAGCGTTTTGAATGTGAAAAACAAGAAAAAGCCTCTTGTACGTACGCGTGCGTTGTGTGCGACCGTGTACAGAGTAAGTAATGCGCGAAAAAAACGTGGATAGGAAAACGCGGGGGAGCGTGTACGCGGTTTATTTTTTCTTTTCAACTTGTACCCAAATACGTATTCGCACGTAAATGCTTACAGAAAAGCTACGAAACCGTAAAGCGCGTGCGGAATGCGTATGCACGTGTACGAAATAAACGTGACGACGAAACGATATTAAAATAATGTTATGATTAAAAAAAACGCTGGTGCTCGCGTATGATTCGTACACGCAGGTGTGGACTAGCACCAAGGGTGTATTTGAGGGGGGGGGCGAAGGGTGCATTCGCCCTCCCCCCGTGGCTCGTATTTGTTTTGAATATAATACATTGATTTATTTGAAAAATGTAATGTATAAACGATTAAGAATATAAATTATTAGTCTATCATTATAATATGTTATCTTTATAACAGGAACATGAACTGTAGGCAATAAACTGTAAATTATTTTTAAGTTTTTATTGAAAAAAAATTAGTTTAGCCCCCCCCCCCCCCCAATGGCCTCAACTCAAATACGTCCTTGACTTGCGCTCCGTGGGTCTTCTCTCTCCGTCGAACTTGCAGTTGGTTTTTTTTTCTTTTCGCGAGTTCGACGTCCGTCTATTTCGCGCACTCGTCGTTTTTTGGCGGCCTCAACAATATGACGCATATTTTCATCAGTGTCATGTACCCTTTTCGGCTGCCGTCTTTTGAAAATGCTCGTGTACGCGTGTTGCAATAAAGTTATTATCGAACCGCGTTTACGGCGTTTCATTTTCATAATTACTCAGCCGCCGTCTACGCATAGTAATACATTCGGTGGCGGTGCACGTAGCAGTTATGCGCACGGACCGGGCACTTGACGCGTTCGAGTGAGAGAGAAATTCGTTTGATCCCTTTGATCGTAGTTAGGTCATCGACGTGACGACGGACGCGCGACACCAGCAGTCTCTCCTGCAATCGGCACCAGAATTTCTAGTCATTATTTTCTCAAAACCGTACGCGCGTGTGCCGGAGGAGAAAAGTTCAATACGAAATCTATACGCGTTCTAACTATTCGTTCTAACCTTTGTGCCGAGACACGAAGATTTTAGAAGAAGAAATTAACGTTTCTATGTACGGCGTATTTTGGTCGACGAGAAAAACATCGATCCTTGGTCCGATATGTCCAGCGAAACGTATTTATCCGGTCACGTAGATAACGACCGGGCCGAAAAGCTACTGTGGACAAAACGGCACTCGTACGTGATTTCTGCTAAGAAAATATACACGATAAGCGATAAGAATTTAATACGAAACACTATAAAACCGTGTTTCCCAAACTTTTTGCAATGGTGACCCATAAAATCTATCATATTTTAGGTACGCGACCCCTTGCAAAAAAAAAAAAAAAAAATTATCAAGTTAGACTTCAACATTATTATACAATATAGACTATATATTATACAGGTATCAATTTACGGTTTAAGCAACCGTAATCGTAACCGCGAGTGGTGACCCATGAAAAAAATTTTACGACTCATGGTTTGGGAAACGCAGCTATAAAATAAGATAGAGATCAACGTGATAATTAGAAAACATACCAAAACTTGTTAATGGAACCGTCGATTAAATCGAAATATTAAACAAATAGACACGATTTACACAGTGATGGACGTACCAGTGTTTCCTGGTAAAATCTTCCTGTACATTTATATTTAAAAATGCTGTCTTTTTTTTTTTTTTTTTTTTATCAATATATAACTTTCCAATTTTCTGTAATCGACTCTAGTCGTATCGTTCATCAAATATCAAGAATATAAGT